AAACCTCAATTTTCGAATTTCCCACACTTGAAAACCCCAAAAAACACTTTCAAAAACAATTTGCCACCGGTGGGATTCGAACCCGGGACCCATTTTTCAGCCGAAAATCCCACTAGGCCATGCGTGCATATTTTGCAAAAATCGAGAAAAATCTCATTTTTGGACCGAAATTGGCCTTTTTGGGAGGTTTTAGGACGTCCTGAGCCTGTTTTTGAGCTTAAAAACGACGATTTCCATCATTTTCTGGCTTGAATTGCTCAAAATGAGCCTAAAATCACTCTAAAAGGCGTCCCTAAACTTTCAGATCAATTTTAGACCACTTCCGGCACAGTCCGGGTCAATTTTTGACTGTTTTAGCCATTTCTAGTATCAGAAACCCAAAAATGTGAAGTATTTACCTGCAAATCGCTCTCCAACCGGTCCAAAAACTGCAACGAGAACTCGACGCCGCCCATTTTTCGAGCGTTTCGGAACTCGCGAATCGCCACCGATTTGCAGCGATCGTGTTGTTCGAGAAGCTCGTTTGTGGACATGTATGGCGTGTCCCCACCACACACCTCCTCCATTTCCTTTTGATAGGCTGCACGAGCCGAGGCGACGGCCGCCAGGTTATTGGCTTCCGCGGTGGCCATAAGCATCGATTTGGGCTCCGGGAGGTCTTGCCCTGGAACATTAGGACCATTTTTTGGCTAAAATTGGTTAGAAACAACCATTCTAGTGTTCAGGTGGGTCTGAATCACGAAAAAACCAGAAAAATCGCGAAATTTCGACCTAGAAATCATGAAAATCGAGAAAAAAAACCGCTAAATTCGAGTCAACGGCGCGCGCGACAACTAGAAAATTCGCCTGTCGCGCGCGCCGTTGACTCGAATTTGGCGGGGGTGTANTTGTAGGGTCAATTTTCGTGCTTTTTTATGGCGTTTTTCATCATTTTTGGGTCATTTCTAGCCATATGGGATCGCTAGATTTGTGATTTTCAGCTCAAAAATGACAATTTCAGTCGATTTTAGCCACTTTTAGGCACAAATTTAGCCTTGAAAGTGTCCATGTACGCCATTTTTGTACATATTTTGGTGATTTTCTAGCCTAAAATGGCTCTGAAACAAAGTTTTGGGCGAATTTTACTCAATTTTAGGTCATTTTTAGCCACTTTTGGGCCATTTCGAGTCGTTTTTAGGGCAATTTTAGTTATTTTTAGGGCATTTTTCATCATTTGTAATGCAATTTCGACTATTTTAGAGCATTTCTAGTCATTTTTGGGGCAATTTTACTCAATCTTGGGTCTATTTCAGTCATTTTTAGGACATTTTTAAATCATTTTTTAAAGATTTTCCATCATTTTTGAGTCATTTTAGTCAAATTTGGGTCTATTTTAGTCACGTTTGGGCCATTTCGAGTCATTTTTGGGGCAATTTTAGTCATTTTTTGGTCACTTCTGGTCATTTTTGGGTCGATTTCAGTCATTTTTAGGACAGTTATCATCATTTTGGACACAAATTTACCCTTGAAAATGCGCATGTAGGCCTTGAAGTACTCCAACAGCTCGCGACACGTCATCTTCTGTCCGTTGATCTCCTTATGCACCAAAGCGTGCGAATCGAGAAGGCGTGGAATCATGACGCCGAGTTGTTGTTGGAACTCGTTTTCAATGTCTGGAAAAGCGATTCTTAGAGGTTTTAGCCCATTTCTAGAGGCTTCTAGGCCATTTTTATGCTCAAAAACACCTTTAAAACCCCCCAAAACCCGAAATTCGGTCGAAAAATGAGATTTTTTGAAAATGTGGCAAAATTTGCTCGGATGGCCTAGTGGGATTTTCGACGAAAAGTTTGGATCTAGAGGTCCTGGGTTCGAATCCCACCGGTGGCAAATTGTTTTTGAATTCTTTTTTTGGGGGTTTTCAAGCGCGGGAAATTCGAAAATCGAGGTTTAAAGACTCAAAAAATGGCTTTTAGGCTATTTTTAATGTTTTGTTCTGGTACAACTGAGAAATTTGGGTTTCTGGCACCGAAAATCACGCCCACATCTGTTTTTATGCTCAAAAACGGGTCCTGGACGCTCGAAAACCCGAAATTCGGTCGAAAAATGAGATTTTTTGAAAATGTGGCAAAATTTGCTCGGATGGCCTAGTGCGATTTTCGACGAAAAGTTTGGATCTAGAGGTCCTGGGTTTGAATCCCACCGGTGGCTAATTGTTTTTGAAAACGTTTTTAGGGGTTTTCGGGTGCGGGAAACTCGAAAATCGAAGTTACAAGGCTCAGATTAGCTATTTTTAGAGGTTTCTAGGCAATTTTTGGGTCAAAATTGCTCATTTTCGACCTAAAACCACTCTTACCAACAAGTTTTCCATCGAAATTCGGGTTCGTCGCCACCTTCAACCCGGGATGTGGCATCAGGAAGCATCGGATGTCCT